AACTGTTCAGATGTACTCATTCTGATAGATGTGGAGATTTGACTCTCCGGGATGTGTTCAGAGGTGCATCGTACAAAAGCACAGGATAGTTCTATATTGAAAATGACAGGCCAGCTCATTATATACGCTGGGGTAACAAAAGCCACCAGTTTGACCAGCCTGGATAATTGAAACGCAAACAACTGATCAAAGTCGAGATCCATCTCAACAGTTTCATTGTTTATGTATGGGCCCTATGTGAGACCTGTTGACTTTTCCAATTGGAGCTGTAAACTTTTGTTTGTCCATGCATTTCTAAGACTGATTGTCAGTCTGATCTGAACAATTACTGGCTAAATGTGTTTGCCAGCTCAGAAACAACTCCCCCTCTCTTTGCCCTAAAAAGATCAAAGGAAAGACATACACCAAACCCCCGACCCCCAAAGGTCCCGCTTCTCCGCCAGTAGCCCCCTTCACAGCCCTTTCATTTCCTTTTAGCCATGACAGTTCAGCTGGAAAGCCAACTATAAATGATTTTTTTTTTTAGTAGCGCAGCATTTGGGAAACAGCCTTTTTGAGCGCAAAGCGTTCAACATTTCCCTTTCGAAAAAAAAAAAAGACAAATGATCTGCATATTTCAATTATGTCTAGTTGTGTTCAGCTGATCAAAGACCTGCCAGGATGTCAATTGTAAAAGAGGGTCTAAGGACCCTCATGATGTGAATGAGCACAAATTGATGCTACTGATGCTAAACGGTTAGGTGCCTCACAAAATGTCAGAAGGTCAATCAACTTTTGGTAGTCATTTGACCGTGACACAACCTTTGCAGTTCAGTGGCTTTAACAGCCCTGATGGCTGCACTTGGCTGGTTTCTAATTTCATTCAACTTTACAATGTCTGTAACATATACTTACCAGGGTTAGATTTATGCATACAGTACATGTCCCCGTGAAAACACTTTGATCATGGCATATGTAGTGAAAATGGAACTGGAATTAGTTTTTCAATCATTTACAAGCTTCTCCAACTTTTGCTTTCAACTGCAGTTTGCAATACTGTTTAAATATTTTAGCAATTGGAATCCGTGATGCTGCTGACTGAAAATTATTTGAATGCGCATTCAGAATTGTTCAGTTTAACAGAAAGACCTTTGTGATGCAGTTGTTTTTTTCCTCCCAGGTGTGTTATTTTCGACACTTATGTAAACAAACACTTGAAAAACGTCCCCCCCCAAAAAAAAAACAACAACAACACTAATACATTTATACTGTCAACCACTATGTGAAAAATGTTCATTGTTGCATATTCATTTGACTATGTAACAGCCAAGAATGAATATGTGAATATAATTTGATAATGACGCTCAGAAAAGTTTACCAGAGGAAATAAATTATCACTAGCGTGAATGTAAGCATGTGAACTAGTTACAGTACCTCACGTGACTTACAATTATGTCTAAAAGTATTTGGACAAAAGCAGTTTTTATGAGTTTACATCAATACACCTTCAAATTTGTTATCTATACATGTGTAAAGAGGAGCGTGTTTTTGTTTCGTTTTTATTTTGGGATACTTTACTGCAGGGGCCCCCAACCTTTTTTGCCCCACGGACCGGTTGATGTCAGACAATATTTTCAGGGACCGGCATTTAAGGTGTGGCGGAAATAATACAACAAAATAATATGGTATGAGCTGCATGAAAACTGTGGCGTTTTTGAAATATAATAATAAACACAAGGAGCGTCTAATCTGGCCGCAACACTCCGATCGCTATGGTAATGTTTAATGCCTTCAAAATACGATACAACGCAAATTCAAAGTGCATGAAAATGACGACTCACCACAGCACCGAGCTTGATTTTCTGCAACCAGACGGTCCCATCTCGGGGTAATAGGAGACAATGACACCTCAAGTGTGTGGTTTATGTCCAGTCTACTTCGTAATTTTGCTTTCGTCGCTGTT